CCCGGGTTCAGCCATTTACTAGCCAGATGACCTCAAGCCAGCTACTTTCACTTCTCTGGGCCTCAGTTTCCAAATCTGTAAAATAAGGATAATCCTTGAGCCGTCTCTCCCAGGGTTGGGGCAAGGATGGAGTGGGAGAGCACATCTAGGGTGCTTGGTCAGAGCCCAGCACGCTGGAGAGGGGTGGCTATTGAAGTCTTTAGTGTGATTAGGAGTCAGGGGCTGCAGGGAAGACCTGAGGGGTCATCTGCTCCCTGCGGGTGAGTTAACAAGGCAGGGGCAGGTCAAGGTGTCTGCAGGGGGACCCTCTGGGCAGTGAGGGAGGAGTGGGCTGTCCCTGCAGTGTGGGGTGCAAAGGGCTGCCTTTGGCACCTTTTTGCCACACATGTGTGGGCCCTGTCTGTAGGTGGCTTTGTTTAAACCCTCTGAGCTTTATTTTTCCCACGCCGTACATGCAAAACCTGAGGCTCAGAGACATTGATGCCACTTACCAAATGTCCCCAGATGGTAGAGAAGGAAGGCACCTTGATTTACCCCCCGAAGAGGGAGGTGCCCACAGGAAGAACAGTGATAGGGGAAGGCAGGCGGGTGACAGCCCCAGGCCCAGGAGGCCTGTGTGGTCACTGTGTCCTGGTCCCTGCCCTGTGGCAGAAGCCTCTCCCAGGCTTGGCAAACGGTTTCCCGAGAGGTGGAGGAGATACAGTGACGGAGCCCTTCCTGGGTGGGACCTGGGGTAGGCGGGTGGGCAGAGTCCTGAGGGTCAAGCTGCCTGGGCTTCACACTCAAGCCCACCTCGGCAGGGACCCTGGCGCGGCGGCTTCCCCCAGCAGTCCCCAGGCGGCCGGCTCACTCTGAGGAAGTGCTCAAGGCGGGGCCCTGTTGGTGTCTCCAGGGAGGCCCTCAGTGCCACCAGCGGCCCCTCCGGGTTAGAACAGGCCACTTGGGACTCATTGTCTATAAGATGGGTGATCTTTTCAGCCTTGACATTTTCTTATCCCAGTGACTGGTTTTTACTTTTCAATTCTTGGATCAAAAGCCAAATTCTTCAAATCAGAAGGAAAATCATGCAGGGCAGCAGAGAGTTAAAACAGGGCCCTGGTGCCCTGGCTGGGTGGCTCTGCCCATTTGTTGGAGAGTTGTCCTGATCACCAAAAGGTGGCGGCTTCTATCCCCGGTCAGTACCTGTTCTGGAGGCAACTAATCAACGTTTCCCTCTATCTCCCTTCCTCTTTCTCTAAAACCAATCAACATATACTTGGGTTGGGACAAAACAAACAAACAAAAAACCCAGGGCCTTAGAGTCCAGACCAAAAAGAGGATGGTGTAGCCCTTACAGGCTCCAGACACACCAGCCCACCCCAATGCCCACCCTCTCCCAGGTGCCCCACTGACTCCCAGCAGTCAGGAGTGGCCTCCCTCTTCCTCCAAAGTGTGCCAAGAAGATCACGTGTCCCGGCTGTTCTGCTCACGAGCTGAACACTATGAGGGTCTGCCTCCGGGGCCTCACCCCCTTTCCTTGCCCAAGCCCTGCCGGCCTCACCTGGCCCGGCCTCCCCAGGGGCCAGGCTGGAATCAGAGCCACAAGCAGGACAGGTCTCCCTGCTTGGTCCAGGGAAGCCCCCAGTGAGCCAGGAGCGAGGATGTCCTGTGCTCCACCGTGGGAAGCAGCCTGAGTGGCGGTTAAAAGGCTAGGGGCTGGGATTCAGGCCCACTCTATTACTCACCAGCTGTGTGGCTTTGGGCAAGTTACCAAACCTTTCTGGGCCTCTTGCGGGGATAACTAGGTAACAGAGGCAGCGGCTCTCTTTGGCTGAAAGCCTCACACCACCCCCTGCTGTGAAACACTCTGCCAGCTGGGCCCGGTGCCCGCTGGTGACACTGGGCCTCCAGAAGGCTGCTACACGCCCTCTGGCCTGTGGGGCCTGGCTCTGCTGTCTGAACTTCCAGATAGGAAGAGGGGGAAAGAGTCCTCAGCCTCCTGGCCTGGCCAGGAGCTGAGAGCAAGGTCTGACCCAGCAGAGGGAGTCATCCACCCTACATTAGTTAATTCATCCTGGCTGGAGCTGAGATGAGAGGGATGGCGTGTACTGTGTCAAACCCTTCCTATTGTCCCCCAGCCGGCCATCTCACCGTACACATCGCCGGCCTGGCTCCTGGGAGTTGGTTTAAAGGAGAAGTTAGAGAAGATGTTAACAATTGGAAAAATGTGAAGATCGACTAGGAGCTGGAAGTGATCTCCTAGGTTAATGCAGGTTAAAACTGCATTAGAGCCCTAGCCGGTTTGGATCAGTGGTTAGAGCGTCGGCCTGAAGACTGAAGGGCCCCGGGTCCGATTCCAGCCAAGAGCATGTAATTCCGTTGCAGCCTCCATCCCTAGCCCCCGGTCCAGGCGTGTGCGGGAGACAATCAATTGATGTCTCTCTCTCCTTCTCCCTCTCTCTCTCTTTTTCCCTTCTACTCTCTCTGAAAAGCAATGGGTGAGGACTTAAAAAACAACAAAAAACCCACATTTGATAAGAGGCATCCTGGAGGTTAGCTTTAAAAGTCAAGAAAAAACCAACTTGGCAATTTTGCTTAGAGACCAAGAGGGAAGGGTGTCATAGAAACACTTACTCGGTGCCAGTCTCTTCCCCAGACTTTTTCTCACTAAATCGTCGATCTTATACAGAAGGTAAGATTTATTCCTATTTGACAAATGAGGAAACCGAGGCCAAGAGAAGTGACCCAAGGACCCTCAGGTGGTGAGCAGCAGAATTGGGATTCAAGCCTGGATAATGCCTGGCTCTCACATGATGCAAGCCCCCCCATGACCGTCTCTCCTTTCAAGTGGCCCGGGAAAGAGAATCTGACAAAATGGGTGCAGATGGGACCTGGGAGGAGTGGAGATACCATTAGGGCTTCAGGGGTTGCCCAGGGCCTGGGGCAGGATAGGAAGAAGAGGCTGCCCCGTGGCTGCAGAGAGCATCCAGGAAGAGGTGCTCCCTGAGGTGGCTGGGGTTGGGGTGGACAGGGGGTGAGGAGGAGCCTTCTTCTTGGCCTTCTCAGGTGAGCCCGAGGTTACCCTTTAGAATAGGCTGGTGGCCTCTTTGGTCCCTTAGATTTCTGAGTCTTTAACCAGGGCCCTGGGGCCTTCACTAGGAGCTTGGGCTGGTGTCCAGTAGCTCCTCTCACTACCCTGGCTCCTTCCCCTCTCAGGGTCATGTACATGTTACTTCCTATTCTTGGAAGCTGTCACCTCCTCCTGCCGGAGGCCAGCTCCGGGTGACACACTCTCTGTGTCTGGCGGTCTCCTTATCAGGCTCAGGAGGTCTGTGTATCTCCCTGGATTGGGTTCTGCTCCCTCCCAGGCCGGGAAGATCCATGAGACTGGGACTCGTAGGCCCAGTTCACAGCTGCACCAGGCCCCCGGCTCGGTGCCTGACACGCCAGGCCGGCTGCTAGCAAGTGCCAGAAGGAACGGGCAGGAGGCCCCCTGACCACTGCCTTCTTCTCCCTGCAGATTGTCCCCTTCTCAGGGGTCATCCAAGGGGGCCTCCAGGACGGACTTCAGATCACTGTCAATGGCATTGTTCTTCAGTCCAGTGAAACCAGGTACCTGGAACTGTTGCTTCTCTCCAGCCTCGCCCCTTAGCAAACCATGGTGCCTGTCAGCTCAGGTGGTTCACTCAGCACTCTCCGACCTACCTGTGCTTGGTTCAGGGGACTCTGGATGAGTAGGGCCCCGCCCCTGCCAACACTGTATGGTGGCCCTGCCACCTGCCAAGAGCAGCTGGACACCATTAACATACACTCCCCATAAACACAGAGAGCAGGAGCTCACAGTCTAAGGCCAGCCCTAGGGCAGATCATTAGAGTCTAGGACTGAACTTTGCACACCAAGACCCAGCGTTGCAAAAACAATACCTCCTTTATTTCCCATAACCGCCTTCATGTTCTTTGCAGCCCTCATTTGGCTGATGGGGAAATATTTAAATTTGCCATAAAATGTAATTTGGTCTCTTTCTGCTTCAAGGTCTTTCCTGGAAAACACAAAGTCAATTAAAAATACCAACATCTTCTCTGCACTGTTTCCCGCCCTATAGGGGACTTTGGGGTACAGGGGACTTTGGGGTACAGGGAAGAACTTGTACATCTTCTCAGAGGCTGGAGAGCCCTCTAAGGCTTGAGCAGCCCTGGCTGCTCTCTGCTGAGGTCCAGGTGGTGTGGAGTTGTGGGGCTCTTGCCTGACTTGGCTGAGGTCTATGTCCATGGCGCTTGCCTGCTAAAGTCCACGGTGCCCACAGAAGCCCTCTGGACACATAACCCTCACTTGGGGACATAACCCTCTCTGTCTCAATCTCAAGTGTCTTTTGTCCCCAGTGATCCTTTTAAAACCTTGCATGGGTCCGGGGGACCTTCTGGATCCCTTCACACCACCCCTGGGCCCAGCCCTACCTCATCTTGGCACGTAGATGCTAGATGACTTTCTCTGCCATCACCTTCCCTGCCAGGTGGTCATAGCCATGCTCACCTCCAAGAGCCCTGAATGTCCCCAAGAAGACTCCAGGAAAGTGAGGCTCCGAGGTCCCCCTAAACCCTGCCACCAGGGAATCTGGCACCTCACCTCTGAAACTCCATCCCCCCCTCTCCCCTTCTCCCTCTGCCTAGCCCTCCTCCCACCACCAGGAGCATTTTCTACTCCAGTCCTACTGTCCCCATCTTTTCCCATGGGCACTTTTGCACTCTTTCTTCCCTGGGGTAAGAATTTGCACTCTCTCTTCCCTGGGGTAGGAATTTCCAAAGGACCACAGAAATAGAGCTGGAGGACCACAAGGGGAAAAAATACATCTGGAGATATTTCAGAAATAATAGCCTTTGAGTAAAGAGGAACACGGATTCGGTTCTCTGGTTCCAGAGTCACTGGGAGCCTCCTTTCCTTTTATTATTCCCAGAGTGCAGGCCTGCTGGGCTCTGGGCCACACAGGAGCTGGTGTTGAGGGACAGCAGAGAAATCAAATGGGCTCTGCAGGAATTGAAGAATGCTTACCAAGGGCCACCTCTGGCCCTGTGGGGGATGCAGAAGACACAAAAGCGGAGGCCTTCCCGGACTGCTGTGCATTAGCTGGGGACACCAGAGGGACCCCAAGAACCAGGCTGTGAACGACGTTCATGCTGAGTTCAGGGAAGACAGTGACATTTTCCTTGGTGGAGAACCTTGAATTGGAACTGGTTGTAGGACATGTGTCTGGGGAAAGGATGAACAAACATTTATTGCCCCTCTTTTGTGAAGCTGGCAGCTTGGAAGTTTCTTTTGTTTGAATTCCTCACCTTAAAGCAAGGGTGGGGAACCTTTTTCCTGCCAAGGGCCATTTCGATATTTATGACATCATTAGCAGGCCATACAAAATTATCAACTTAAAAATTAGATATGAAAAAAGCTCATAGATTTATTGAATTTTGAGTCCTACCTGCAGTTGCCTTGGCAGGTCCAGACCAAATGATTTCACAGGTCATATATGGCCCGTGGGCCAGACGTTCCCCACCCCTGCCCTAGGGCCATAGTCATACCCCAAGGAAGTTTTAATGGTGAGGCTTCCTTCCGAGGAGAGACTTGAAGGAAAATTTACTTGTGTGGGGGCTTCCTGAACTCCTCCTCATTAATCATCCCCAAAGGAAGGGAGTCACCCCTTTTCCTGGGTGCAGCAACTCCAGGGTAGTGTGGTTCAGGGTCACCCCAAATGACAAACAGTAGAAGCTGGGGTCTAGGTCCAGGCCTGTGGACTTTAGGGGCAGCACTCCACACCTCATGAGTGGGACACACACCAACTTCCAAAGAGGGACAGACACACATACCAGAAGTTCTCATGCATGGAAAGCTAATTAACACTTATTCCCTGCCTCCCATTAGACACCGCCTTTGTAGGTAAGCTCCCCAATTTCACCTGTTCTTTCCATTTGTGCTCTTCCTTCCCGATGGAGCAGAGCGGGCTGGCCTCTAACAAGTGCCCACTGGGCATGAAGCTCCTGCTGCTGGGCATATGCCTTGAATTGCATCCGTACAAACTGTAGTCAGTTTCCAGCACCTATGCTTCCTGTTGCTAGTGTCAGCATGTTTCTTTCCCTGTTTCCACCTATTTTTAGAAAGTCACACTGGAAAGGGCAAAATGCAATGATTACACAAAAACACACTAAGTGCAAATTATGTAAACAAAAAGGAAGGCACCGAAAGCCAGGGTGGGTGCAGACCTGCCACACAGGTTGCCAGCAAGTTCCCAGACCCTCGCAAGTCAGAGGCACAAGGCCCTCCTGCTCCTAGCATTGGCAATGAACCAGAAACTATCTGATTTCCCTCGGCCTAGGTTTGCTGTGAACCTTCAGAGCGGTTTCAGTGGCCATGACATTGCCTTCCACTTTAACCCTCGGTTTGAAGAGGGCGGGTATGTGGTCTGTAACACGAAGCAGAAAGGATGCTGGGGGCAGGAGGAGAGGAAGCTGCAAATGCCCTTCCAGAAGGGGAATCCCTTTGAGCTCTGCGTCCTGGTGCAGAGCTCCAACTTCCAGGTGAGCAGGACTCTCCCCCCTGCCTCCCGCTGCCTGGCTGCCCGTCCCCCTGCCCTATCAGACGTGGTGAAAAGCCTTTAAAGAATTACCCAAGCCATGCCATTATGCAGCAAGCAGGACCTTACGCACCTTCACCTGCATCTGCAGGGGCCCCTGCTGCCCTTATTACTAGGAAATGACTAGGTAAGTCCCCACATGCTCTTTGGCCACGGGTTCCAAGTTAATTCCATTCCTCTGCTGTAGCCATTTGTCCTCTCCATGTCCTTGATAGTATTTGTTTTTCAGTGACATGGTTGTAGCCCTCATCCAGATCTAGGAATGGCTTGGTTTTGCATGGTGTTGTAACTGTTCTTGCAAGCAGACTAGTGCTGCTGGGCTCGGGGACACGGATGGCTGTGTTTGTACCCCTCTGTGTGAACATGAATGTTCCCATGCCCTCAAGGTGCAACCTGAGGTCCCCTCTCAACTCCTCCCCAGAAGCCTCTTATGCCCATTTAAATGCACATATTGAAATAACATCCCAGGTGGGTTAAGATTGGAAAGACAAACCTAGTGCAATAAACAACCAACCATAAGAACTAAGAAGCCAGCAACTGGAGCCAAGTGGTGATTGGGTTTGGATGCACTTTGGATCACATTGTGTTCCTGAAACTGTTGCAGCTCTGAAGGCTGGTGCCCTGACCTATAAGGGATGGAGGTGAAAACCAGACAGATCTTACTTTCTAGATGCAGGGGTCCCAGAGGCTCAGGTGGGCTCCCTGCCTGGTCCGGGACCCCTCTCCTGGAATATGCACTCCTGTTGACAGGTGACGGTGAATGGAAACTTCTATACACAGTACACACACCGTGTGCCTTTTCACTTCGTGGACACCATCTCTGTCTCCGGCGCTGTGGGGCTGACCCACATCAGCTTCCAGGTCAGATGGTCCAAATGCCACCTGTCCCAGGGGCCCTATTGGGTGGGCCCAAAGGTATCAGCCAATCTCTCACGCAGGTGACTCTGGGGGCATACCTGCGGCTCCCTCCATCCGGTCCTTCTTGTGTCACTGTCTCTGTCCAGAACACCTGCCTCGGCCTCCTTGACTCCCACCACTCTTGTCTGTCACTCTCTACTTCCACCCTGGTTAAGAGGCCTTGTGATTCCAGAAGGATCCCAGGCTTGGGAATCAAAATGAATGGAGCTCAGATTCCAGGTCTGCCATTGTCATCAGCTGTGGGATCTTAACCAAGTGACCTTGCCTCTCCCAGCCTCAGTTTCCTCATCTGTGGAAGGGGCATAGTCACTGCCTCCCTAAGGGTTATTGTCTGATCTCCACAAGGCGATACATGTCAGAGGTCACCAAATAGCCCACATGGGCCCATACCAGGGTCTATTTGACCCTTTCTGTGTTTTACAATTGTTGGGTGTGTTGCCAGCACCTAAAGATCAGAAGTTCTGTGTGTGGAGCTGAGTGGCGGTGATGGATGCACAACAGCGTGAATGGACCTGATGCCACTTGACTGAACACTCAAAAATGGTGTAGATGTGCTGGGCCCACATCCCGCAGGGCCTCGCGCGGCTGGGGTGGAGCTGTTGTTGCCACTTTTGGCATTTGAGTGTGCTCTCTGAGATGAGAAAAGCACACAGTAGGCCCTCAACAAATATGAGCTCCTCACTGTTCGGTCTTCATCTCTCATGTCCCCTCCCTACCCAACTCCCTCCCCTACTCTGTCCCTGCCAGTCTGGCTCTCTCCCTCTTGCCCGGCCCCTGCCTTTCTACTCTTCCTTGGCTCACTAACACTTCTCTTCACCCCCTGGCACCTTTTGTTTTAACAGAACACCCGTGCAGTCCCTATCCAGCCTGCCTTCTCCGGGATGCAATTCTCCCAGCCTGCCCGTTTCCCATCCAAGCCCAAGGGGCGCAAACCAAAAGTGAGTTAAATGTGAAGAGCCTGGAAGGCTGAGCAGTCAGCAGGAAGGACAGAGGGTCTGAGAGAGAGGCTAGTTCCGTCCAGCATGGTGGCTGGGACTTACAGACCCCTTCATTCCCACCCAAGGCTCCCTATCTCCATCCACCAGGCATTCAGAGCCCGGACCTGGGAGACATCCATGGTTCTTCTCTCCCTTCCTTAACATCTCTCCAGTACACCAACGCCTCTCCTTCCCGAAGCCACTACCTTGGTCCAGGCCACCTGACCTCTCACCACTCACCCCATCACACCCACCCACTGCCCCAGTGGCCCTCCCATAAGCAAATTCAATCTCATCCTCTCCCTGCTTAAAAATCCTAAAGGCCCCAAGCCCTTCTAACTAGAGCTCAAACTCCCCAGCTGGATGTGCAGGATCCTCCCGTCTTGCCCAGCCCACCTCCCAGCCTCCCACCTCACCCACGAAGAATCTCACACAGCCCCCACTGCTCACTTCAGGCTCTTTCTGGCCACCACGCTTTTGCATCTGCTGTCCTGATGCTGAAAGTACCCTTTGCCCCCTCACCCCCAGCCAGCCCCTAACTGCCCTTCAATACTCTGCTTAAATCTCGCTCCTCAGGCGCAGCTTCCCTGCCTGGCACATTGCTGGATGCCCTCCCCCTTCCCCTCCCCCTCCCCATGGACATTTTACAACTGCCATGCCAGTCACCATGTCCTGTTGTAACTGTATTTACATGTCTGTCCCCATCACTCCACCCCCTCCTTCCCTGCACCCACGAGTTTGGAATTGTGACTTGTCCCTTTCTGTATCCCCAGCACTTTGCACAGTGCCTGGAATGCAGCAAGGACTCAGTAAGTGAATGAGGGATGTGGTGTGCACAACCAGTAGAAGGGGAGACGAGCCAGGGCAAGAAGAACAGCCTGCTGGGTGGAAAGGGGCTCTAGTGCAGGAAAGGAGCAAGGCCTGGCCCTTCCCTTGGCCATTTGAGCAGTGGGGGTAAAGGCAAGGGCTGTCTCTTTCCCCAGCCTTCCTGTGGCCCATCACAGTGCAGGTAGGACACCTGCCACCTGTCACCTGCCACCTGTCACCTGCCACATTGACTTTAAGACTGGTGGAGCTCCAGGGAGCCTTTGCAGGGCATCCCGACCCTGGCCCTGGCCTGGGGAGGACAGGGTGTGCTGGATACAACCAGACACAACTGGGTACCATTTTGTGTTTTATTGCTTGATACCTGGATAGGCTTGGGCAAGTGGCTTAACCTTTCTGAGCCTGGTTCTCTCACTTAGCAAAACTGAAGCTAAGGATGCTTCCGTCATAAAGCACTGAAGCCAGAGCTTGGCATACAGTAGGCCTCAGGAAATGCCAGCTTTCACCTCTGGCTGAAATTGGACACTGGAAGTAATGGTTTTGCCTCTGGTTGCTGAGGTCAGCTGTAGGTTCTGTATCAGACCCATGCTTCTCACTCTCTAGAGGAGCCAGTGAGGATGCTCCCTCTCCCCCGCCCCGCCCCTACCCTGTTTTATAACCTGTGTACCCTGGATGGTGGGTGAGAATCTGGGCACCTCGGGCTCTGGAAGCCTTGCTGGGGAGCAGGAAGGAAGCGAGTGTGAGTCTGGGAGGCATCTCTTGCCACAGTTTCTGCTGTCATCTCGCCCTCAGGTGGCACCATTGTTAACCACCCTTTTGACTTTCTCGCCCCCTCCAGCCTCCAAGTTACTGGCAGGCCACCTCATCGCCCATGGTAAGTCTCTTGCTCTCTCTTCGGAACGTCTTCGTTTTGGTTCTTCCTGTGGGTCAAAAGGAGAACACAGGGCCAGGCATTAGGCCTCTGCCACAGGGCGCCTGGGGCAGCTAAGGCCAGACCCCTTGACCACCCCCCTGACCGCAGTGGTGCTGGTGGTGAGAGGGCTTGGGGGAGGGGGGTCGGCTGGCCTCATGAGTTGGGAAACAAGCTGAATTGCATGAGCCCCAGCCATTCTGTGGGCAGCCACAGGAAACCAACGCGCCCATTTACTCCCTCCTGCAAAGTGAAGCTATGCTGGAAAAATTCCCCTGAGAAGGAAGGTGGGCCAGCAGGCCACGAAAGAAGCCTTATTTCCTCTCCAGAAGAAACTTTTGCCCCTGCCTCATCCTCTTAAGAGAAGAAACCCCTCTAGTACTCCAATTTTCAGAGTCGGGTCTGGGCTATTGAGCTGGTTAGTCTCAGAGCTCCCGGGAGGGTGTGTTAAGTGGTTCCTTCTGGTGGCAGGTGGTGATCTTCGCACCGGTGAGAGCTGGTTAAAACCCCTTTTCTTTCTCCCAGATCCAATCGTGCGTCTTCCCGATGCAGAGCGCCCCTGGACAAATGGTCCCTGTAAGTCTGAAAGCTCCGCTCAGCTCACAGCCAGCCCCTATCCCCCTTCACCAAGGACTGAGTTCTCTAGTCCCGGAGAGGGGACGAAAGCAGTTTAGTAAGGGGGATGGGGACATGTAGGGCTGGGACCTCTGCTCAGGAGACATGCAAGTCAGACAACCCTGGGGACAGCAGAGATTCTGGGTCAGGCTGGCTTTCCCCAGAGGCCCAAGAGGCAGGACCCTCAGGACCAGCAGTGGCCCCAGCATCTGGATCTGAGGCCCTGTGTCCTTATGTCCCCGGGATGTCACCGATGGTCACAGACTTAAGCCGCTGCCTCTCTCCCTCCTGCTGGCACAAGTCAGACAGGAGCCCTGGGGTTAGTGGAGCTTCTTGTGGAGGGGTTGAGGGCAGGTGACGGTGATGGGGTCTGGGACAATGGCAGGAAGTTCCACAAAGGCTGGCATGAAAGGGAAAGTGAATGGGAGAATCCAGGGGCTGAGCCTCACATTGGAGCATCCCCTCTTTTTTTTTTTTTTTAAATATGTCTTTAATGATTTCAAAGAGAGGAAAGGAGAGGGAGAGAGAGAGAGAGAAACATCAATGATGAGAAAGTCCTTGATTGGTTGCCTCTTGCATGCCCCCTGCTGGGCATCCAACCGAGATCTTCTGGATCCTAGGTCAATGCTCAACCGCTGAGCCACGCTGGCCGGGCTGGGGCATCCCCTCTAGAATGCGTGGGGGCCTGGGGGCGGGCACAACCCCACACTGAATTTCCTGGTCTCTTTTCAACAGAATCCCGTAATCCCACCGGTGGCGTTCTCCAGCCCCACCTACGTAAGTGATTTCTCAGGGCGGGTGGAGGTTTTGTGCGGGACAGCAGGGCAGCTTGCAAAATGAAAAGCAGTCCTTTGGTGAGCTGAAGTTCTCCAAACATCCAAGTAAATTGGAAGACTGTTGAAAGGAGCTTTCACCTTTACAATGGTCCCTTCATCATGAGCATATTATATGGCCTTCCCTTCTCAGCCCAGGTATCCTTCTGTGTCCAGCCAACATTGTTTTTGTGACAGTTTAAGCCCATTCATTTGAGGAACACTGGAAAGTTTTCCCTTGGCATTTGCTAACCAAATAAAGATATCACGATTCTTTCTTGAGAATATATGACATAGGCACAGCTGTCAAACTCAGCTGACAGTCCAAATTCGTGGACACTGGCAGAAAGTTTCTCCTACAGTGGCCACTGCTCTGGCTGCCGCTGGCTGACCTGCCCCTCTCCTCCCCACAGCCGATGCCTTTCTTCACCAGCATCCCTGGTGGGCTGTACCCCTCCAAGAGCATCACCGTGTCAGGCACTGTCCTGCCTGGAGCTCAAAGGTAAGCCTGGGCTCTTGGGGAGGAGAGATACCCCAAGGTCATTCAGCCTTCCCCCTGGCTCTGGGCAGGCTGGGGAGGGGCCAGGGCCCAGAGCTCATGAATGCTGCCCAACCCCAGGTTCCACATCAACCTGCGCTCTGGGAGTGACATCGCCTTCCACCTGAATCCCCGTTTTGATGAGAACACCGTGGTCCGCAACACAAAGATCAACAACATTTGGGGGGCTGAGGAGCGCAGCCTGCCCCGAAAAATGCCCTTCGTCCAAGGCCAGAGCTTCTTGGTAAGGTCCTGCAGCCTGGGGCTCCAAGGGGCTCTGCTCCGGAAGGGCAAACGAAGTAGGGAGTGGAGGTGTCTGGGGGCCCCTTGAACAAGATGGGAGCTGAGGCTTCTTGGGTAAGGGCTGGGCCCAACAAATTATTGTATTATGGTTTTACTATTACTGCCCCACATAAAATAGGGGGTGGTATTTGCTGTTTACAGATAGGAAAAAAACTCTCAAGTGCACGTTCCTTGCCTGAGGTCACACAGCCACTAAGTGCCAGATTGGATCCAAGAATGAGGTAGCATTCATTTATTCACTCATTCATTCAACAATTATTTATCAGCTCCATTATGAAGGCCCACTTTGGGCAGGAAGGAGCTGGGGGGACAGCAGTGAAGCAGACAGACCAGGTCCTGCCCACAAAGCTTACAGTTCTGTGGGGGAAGATCACTGCAGATCATGACGGGTGCTGTGCCCAAAGCAAAAGAGAATATTGAGGTAGAGTGAGGCCTGGGCAGGGACCACGCTGCCTTAGAGGGGGACAGCTCTGGGAGACCACAGTGCGGTGGAGACCTCCATGATAGAAGGAGCTCACCCCACAAAGATCTGAGGGGAGCATTCCCAGCAGGCATGGGAGGGAGCAGCTGTGATGGCAAAAGCCAGAGTCGTGGGCGGGGCCTGTCAGGGAAGGGGAGGGTGGTGAGGCTGGATGAGTAGATCACAGAGCAGGGGTTCTCAGCCTCAATTACACATTCAGATCACCTAGAGAGCTTAAAAAAGAAAAATCAATGACTGGCCCTGCCCCAGGCCAGTGAGGGGTGAGCCTGGGCATCTGTGTTTTTAAAAATACCCTAAAATAGGCCCTATTTTTAAATGAGAGTATTTTTAAATGCTCACCCAGGGTTGAAAATGACAGATGTATGGCCCTGAGGGCCATGGAAAGAAGTTTGGGGGTGGGGGGGGTGTTTTTGTTAATTTTCACTCGATATTGTTTCCATTGATTTTTTTACGGAGAGTGGAAAAGAAGGAGGGATGGAGAGAGAGAGAGAAACATTAATGTGAGGTTGCCTTCTGCACACACCCCTACTGGGGCTGGGATTGAACCTGCAACCCAGGTACATGCCTTGACTAGAAATCGAACCCAAGACCCTCCAGTGCGCTGTCCGATGCTTTAACCACTGAGCACCACCGGCCGGGGCAGGGATTTGGGTTTTAATACAGTGTGTTGGTGTGTTTGAAGCAAGAGAGCAATACGCTTTGATTTATAGACAGCTATTTGACTTTGAGCAAGTGACTCAATGGCTCTGGGCCTCAGTTTCCTTATCTGAAAAATGGGGCTACTGCCTGGTCGACGTGGCTCAACGGTTGAGCACTGACCTATAATCCAGGAGTTCGAGGTTCAATTCTCGGTCAGGGCACATGCCCGTGTTGCGGGCTCCAATCCCAGTTGGGGGCGTGCAGGAGGCAGCCCATCAATGACTCTCTCATCATTGATGTTTCTCTCTCTCTCTCCCTCTCTCCCTTCGTCTCTCTAAAATTAATAAAGACATATTTTTTTTAAAAAATAGGGCTACTAACAATATTAATCTTAGCCATGTAAGAATGAAATGACGTTAAGGGTGCTGCAAGTGTTAGGTATTGTGATGGGGATGACATTTTACAGATGTGCTCTGACTGCCTTGTGGAGAATGTTTGGGGTGAAACAGACAAGTTGGGAGGTGGCCGCTGCGGGAGTGCAGGCGTGGAGCACTCCTGTGTGCCGGGTACTAGGGACATGGGTGGCACAAGCCAGGGTTCCTGCCCCTGGGCTCAGGGTCCGGTTGGAGAGTGAGGATGGGGAAGGGAGACATGACTTGAGGGGGCACCTCACTTGACTAGGAGGGGGTCAGGAGGTAGCAAAAGGCAGGGAAGGCCTGCCCGAGGGGAGTGAATCCTGAAGGGGGACTAGCAGTTATCCATGTGGGCAAGGGGTGCAGAGTGGGGAGCCTGGGGGAAGGGCACTCTGTGCCGGGGGAACAGAATATGTAAAAGGACAGGAAGGAGAGCAGGCGGCCTGTGTGTGAACAGCAAACCCGGGGCGCTGGAATGCAGGCCTGGGCCGCGCCTAACGAATGTCTGAGGAAGGCAGGAAGGAGGCGGGAGACACCAGCTTGCCAATAGGTTTGAGGACTCTCCGGGTGGAGTGCCAATGACACGGCCTGTCGTTCCAGGTGTGGATCTTGTGTGAAGGTCCCTACCTCAAGGTGGCCGTGGACGGCTATCACCTGTTTGACTACTACCACCGCCTGACCAACCTGCCCTCCATCAACAACCTGGAAGTGGCCGGCGATGTCCAGCTGACGCACGTGCAGACATAGGCGGGATCCCGGCCCTGGAACTCGGCCTGGAGCACGTTACTGTCTTGATCTGCTCTTTGCCTCCACTTGCCTGTCCCTGCCCCAGCCCCAGCCCCTCCCAGCCCACCGAGGGTCTGGGCCTTTTCCGGAGAGACCAGGTCCTTGTCTGGCCTGCTTCTGCTGCAGCCATCCTGGCGTGGAGAAGGCGGCTGGCTGGGGCTGCCTTCCTCTGTCTGAGCAGCGCCTGGGGCTCCAGCTGCCCAAATCCTACCATCGAGGAGAGGGGTGGTCTGTGCAGGCTGAAGCCCATGTTCAGTCCGCTTGGCAGAAAGGGAGCATCCTGGGCCTTCCCACGCTCCCAGCTCCGGCCTCCCCCTCACCCGCCGCTTGACCCCATTCCCGCCTCCATTCAAGTCCAACTCGGTCTCAGGCTGGTCGCTCCCATGGGAGCTGGGCTCCTCAGCTCCTTGTCTTTCTCCAGCATTTAACCTTTTCTTGCACCCTGTACCAAGCCTTCCTCCCCTCCAGGAAGGTGATCCTGAATGACACCTGCTGCTCTCCACCAACTGACAGCACCTTTTTCAGCCGGAGGCATCCCCTTCCCCGGTGTCTTTCAAATAAAGAAAGAAAGGAAAATCCGCGTTGGCGCACATGCACGGGGTGATGGTGTTTTATTCCAGGTGTTTGGAGACAGTTTGGTTTCTGGAATTGGGGAGGTCCTGGCCAAGGAGAGAGCATAGGCTCACTTTGATGGGGGGGGGGTGTCTGATCCATTTCTGCTCTCCGTGTGTCCCCCAAATCCCACAGGGTTATGGGAGAAAGCAGCCGGCCTCAGGCTTTTTGGACAGGAGTCTCTGACAGGAAGCTGGTAACAGAGGTTAACCCAGGAAACAGCCCCAATCTGCTGAGAGGGGCCAAGGGCCGGGCCACAGCCTAGAGGACCACGGCAGGGCCAAGAAGACAGATGGCAGTTAACCCATCAGAACCCCATGTCCCAGTGGAGGAAGGTGGCAGGTGGGGTCAGGAGAAGCTGACCCGGAGGAGAGGCTTGTTCGAGTTGTTCCACTGTGTGTCCCCTGGCATTAGGGGTTAGGGTGTGGTGGGGAAAGTGGCTCCAGTGTGTGGGGTTCTGCCAGCCACTGGGCCAGGGCAGGGAAGCCCAGGTCTGTGCCCGCATGATGCCAACACACCCTGCTAACTCCAGTGCCTCAGGAGCCAGGGTGCTGGCTCAAAGTGAAGTCCTCCAACCACCAGTACATACAGAACCAGGGAGCTTGTTAAAAATGCAGAATCTCAGGCCCCTTTGCAGACCTGAATCAGAATCTGCATTGGAAAGATCCCAGGTGGTTTGTGTGCACGGTACTGTGAGAGGCACTGGTCCAGGCGACCGTGTTCTTTGTTTTTTGGTAATCTTCACCCAAGGATATTTTTTTCCATTGATATTTTTAGAGAGAGTGGAAGGGAGGGGAGGAGACAGAGAGAGCGAAACATTGATGTGAGAGAGACACTTTGATTGGTTGCCTCCTGCACCTGCCCCAACCGGGGCCGGAGATCGAGCCTGCAACCGAGCTACATGCCCTGGCCAGAATCGAACCCATGACCCTTCAGTCCTCAGGCTGAATCTCTAACCACTGAGCCAAAACGGCTAAGGCAGGTGACTGTGCTCTTAACCACCGTTGCTCTGATGCACTGCTAGGAAACTACAGGTTGGCATGTCCCCTTCACCCCCAACCACCACCCCATCTGAGTAGGGGGACCAGGCAGCCGATGTAACAGAGGCCAAACCCAAGCTGGGAGCCAGATTCTGCCAGATCCCCATTCAGCCCCTGGCTGAGATCCTCCCTTGTTCCCACTGGGAGAAGGAAACGTGGCTCAGTCCCTTCAGCAGCCTTCCCCGCGGAAGATGTGTGTCCTTCACTCACTGCCAAGTCCTTGACACGGAGCCACACCTCACATGCCTTGTGACCTAGGTGCCAAATCATTATTGGCCAAACTCTAATGAAGCAGGAGGCCCAGAGCAAACTACAGTGACTTTGTGAGACAGGCTGTGGTCAGGGCCTCCGCTAAAGAGCCGGCATGAGGTCCTGCCTCACAGCCCTGCCATCGCCCGCGGGAGGGAGGCCTCCTGTGAGAGGCTCGGCTGAGGCCTGTGCTCCCTCGCCCCATCACGGGTTTTGAGATGTGTACTCCATGTGCTGACCTTGCACCCATCTCAGAGAAGCAGCATGGCCAAGCTGGCACATCCCTTCGTGGAGGGTTTTTGTCCAGGTTGTGGCACCCACCAGTCCCCAACTCTATATAACTTAGGGCTGTTTCCCATACGAAACACACACACACACACACAATGTGATTAAAATAAAATGCATTTCATATAAATATCTCCATCAAGGAGTCATACAGAGAAGGCCTAAATGGCCTGAGGAGCTGATTAGGATTTGTTTTTTTAATACAAAGGCATAAATAACTGTACACAAGAATAGGGTGGGGTTAAATACAGCGGTGCGACAGCGCCTCCTGGTGGTCGCTTGAAGTGGTGCAATCAAAAGAAGGATCCACCCTTCTCACCTATTGGCCAGGCCTGGCATTGCATTTACTCTCTAAGGGACCAGGGACGCCCCAATTCTCCATTATCCTGGGAAGGGCAGGCCCAAAGGAGACAAGAGGTTCCACTCAGGCCAGGCTGCTACTTGGTAGCAGGCCAAGTAAAGAGGGAAGGAGATGGAGAAATAAGGCGTGAGGGCTGGGATATAATTTCCCACCATCTCCCCAGACCCTGTGACCTCAGATAATGGAGAGTCGGCTCCATCATGAAATTCTGCGGCAGCAGCTTTAACTTCTCCTGTGGGCTGCTGGAGCTCGGGGATCGCTAGGCTGTCCCGCTGCCCCATCTCTTTTCACCTTGTAGGGAAACACAGCACTGAAGATATCTTCATGGTAGCGCTTCTGGCTCTTCAAGGGAAAACAGATCAACATGTCAGCTCTGCTGGTCCAGCCACCTCTCATTTGTCAGGTCCAAGCTGACAGGAACTCCTAGGTTCCCCCCGCTTCCCTATCACTAGTACACTCATGACCCATTTGTCTTCCCAACTCTCATGCTTGGATTACACTTGAATCTCACTTAGACTCTTTAACCCCCACCACTGCCTGCTCCCTTGGGGACCACCTAAACATCTCCCAGGCTTTATGATGGACAGAATAGCCTGCCTAGTGCTTGTCCCACAAGATGCTCCCAGAAATGTGGGCTGTGAGATAAACACGTTTGGTGAATGCTACATACTTTCTCCCAGTTTTGAAGCGTCACGATGCACAGGAGCACGTTCGAGGCTCTGCGAGTCTTACCATAAAGCAGCTTGGCAGCCTTTGTTTAACTGAGCAACCAGACCAGGACGTACAGTCAGGCCTCTGATGGCCCCCCCAGCTCTGTCCTCCAGCCACCTCTAGGATTCCCTTGACATCCAGGACTGTTCTGAGCCTGACACCCCTAGTTCTGACTCCCCTGGTCCCAGCACCCTGGCCCATGCCCTTGACCTGCACCCCTACCTGCACACCAGCTGCCATACCTTAAGCTGGAAGAAATAGTCCTCGACCTGCTCCTCACTCAGGCTCAGCTTGGCAGCCACCAGCTGCTTCAGTGTGTGGGCCACATCCCGGGCCATGTGCGCATCCCCACAGACATAGAGGTGGCCTTGCTCCTTGTGGAGCACGTGGAGCACCTCGGTGGCCAGCTTCTGCTGAAGGATGTCTTGAACGTAGACCTGAAACCAGAGGAGATGGTGAGTCCAGGCCTCTGCTGCTGGGGGGGG